GCAGCGGCGAGCTGCCGCGGCGGCCGCGGCGAGCGTGAGGTATGACCGGTGGGGGGCGGCTGCGGAGAGAGACGATGGAGGAGGCGTGGAGAGTGAAAGGAGGCGGATGGAGTGGTTGGAATAATGGTTCGTGCGGTGGGCGGCGGCTTGCCTGGCTACGGAGCGTGTATCATGCATTGTGGCGAATTGTGTGGTGTTTTTGGAACGAGGTGCACCTCTTCATGAAGCGCTAACGATGAAGTCATTCGTGTTGCACCCAGAGCCTGCGGGGTGACTGGGAATCGAACCCGGGTCCCCACGTGGGAGCCCGCGTCACTATCCCCCCGGTCATCACGCCCCCGAAATGGGTGGCTTCTCCGAAACAACGTCCTGCCAGGGAGCCTCGCGTGGTGACCAGAAAACACTTAGGTTCGGTCTGCACCAGTCGGACGGAGGTCTCGTCCGGTCCAGTCCGGACCGGACCGGACGAGACCATCTGGACGGCGGGCCACCTGGAGACTGGGCCATCTGGCCCGCCGCCGCCTCTCGCCCGTCGGCCTTTTTACCTCGGCCTTTTTACCGGGCCGTCGATTTTTCCGTGTTGCCCGGCGGCCATGCAAATGTTCTCTCGCCTGTCTCGAATTTCGCCCGCTCGTCCACAGCGCCGCCCGCCACGGGCGGCAGCCACAAAAACGGCGCGGCTGTGGCCGGCGGCGTCCGCGCGCGCCGGTGGTACCCCTTGACCCCGCCGCCGGCCGGCTGGCGCCACCCTTGCATCATCTGCCGCTCCCTGGCGCCGATCGGTCTATCCGCGATGGGTGGGGCTCTCGGTATGTGGCTGGCGGAGAGGGGGGGGGGGGGGGGGAGCGGACGAAAGATTAGTGTTTTTAAACTTGAGTGCGGGGTGCTCGCGAAATGTGTGGAAAGGATCTGATTTTAACCTCGATGTGCCCTACGTCCATCTATCTTCACAAAAGTTAAAGTGGTCGTACCTACCAGCCGCGAGTTCGAACTCCGCTCGAACCGCCGTGGCTTCACACGCGCCCGGCCGACGCCGCAGCCGTCGGCGTCGACGGACCGGGCTATCGACGTCGGCAGGGCGTCGGATCGGCGTGTCGGCTCGCGCCCCGGCCACACCGGCTGTAACATAAGCCCGGCGGGGCGGGCTAGGGCGACCTCGCGCCGTTTTTGCCGCAGGTTTTTGCGCCGCGGCCGGCGGCCGCGGCGGGCTTGAGTGTCGGCCTCCGTCGGCGGACGGAGGCAATTTTGGCGTCATCGTTTTTATCTCTTGCAGCGAGGCGTTTTGGAGAGGGCGGCGACTTTTGGATGGGGATTAGCGCTCGGTGGTGGTTTGGGTGGCGTCGGAGAGGCTGCAGGCGTGATTGAAGGCTGACGGAAAGTGGCTGGGTGGGCGCCTGCGAGCGGTGATTGGGTGCGGGATCTCTTGTCCAGTTATGTTTCACGCGAGTGAGCTCTGCCCAGCTGTCCATATCGGCTCAAAACAAGCCTGCCCATCACGGGCGATACGCGTCCCGAACCCTGACCAAGCGTTTTGTGTAAAAAGTGTTTTTCCACGCTCTTCTGCGCGCAATTTTGGTGATTTCGCTTCGATTATTTATGAACTGTGCATGCTTGCGGTCAGTTTAGATGTGCATAACTCCCGCCTATTGCGTGCCAACCATCTGATCTAATTTCCAGAGCCGAGCACGCAATGCTCGTCGGCTGTTGATATCGTGTATCCGACGCCGGTCGCTATTACATCCGAGCAAAACTTCCCGGATAAGGCCGAACTTAAACACACCTGCCTACACGCCAGTGGGTCTTCGTGTTTGACGATTATCAGCACGCATCAATCCGCTATTGATGTGGACTCTTCATGCAAAGAAGACCTGATGCGCCTCCCTGGGGCGCATCGGTGGCTTACCCTCCCCATCCCCCACAGCACCGCCGGCAGGCCCGCATTTCAGTTACCGAAACCGTTGTCATGGTTGCACGTTGGTAATAACGAGCAAATAGGCAATGCGCCTGAAATAAATGACGCCATTGCGAGCATTCATCACGTCGCGGTATTTTGAATTTCTGCGCTGCGTGGAAACGCCTCGCTGGAGTGGTCCAACCCGCAAAAGCGACCCAGGGAGTGTGCCTCTTATTTGGCGTTCGCATGTCGCGTGGCCATATTTTTCGCGGCTTCAGCCCTGTGTTAGTGTCGGTAATCATTGTCGGCCTGCACTGGGCGCTATGTACGCTCTCAGTATTTCTTTTCTAATTCCAAAGGGCCGGGCGACGTGACGAATCCACGGGACCGCCGCTCACTTACACCCCCTGTATGGTGGCCCTTCCTCGTGCAGCTTTGTTCGGTGTGGGCCGCACAAAGGCCGGAGAATGGGGGGCGTGAGCCTCCATTGCTCACAGCGGCTGCATAACGCGATACGGCACCGGTGATAAAGTGGGACGCCACGGCCTAGCATCTTGGAAATGCGCGACGGCAAATTTGGCGAATGTTTTTGGCGGGCGCTTGCGATTGTACCGTCCTTTGAGCTGTGAAAAGTCGTGTTATATTACAAGGCCGTGGACAGAGGCGTCCACGCTGGCGTGCTACACGAGCTTTGCTGTGTAGTGCAAAAGAAGCTTCCTTTTGCCGCGATGGAGCAGCATTTTCATGCCTATTTTTAAATAAAAAGTCAATGGCAAAGCGCGTGTATTCATCTTTAAATTACCTGTGGTGGCAATAAACGAGCTCCCCGACACGAAATGGGTTTATATGTCGAGGCGTCCCTGACGACCGTCAGATGCGCAGCTCACGCTTTGGCTTCAGTTGAGAGTCAGATGCAACATGACTAAGCTGGCTGAATTCAGACTGATTCTGGCTTGAGGTAGCCGGCTGAAGGCCCGGGGCTTTTAGGCTAAAATATGTCCGACACAATGATCTATCACTTCAGACTTATCACACTTTTGCCTTATGTCATGTTATGTTTCGCCGTGCTAGACGTATTTTCAGCCCATTTGTTCCTCATGTTTATAATGAATCGTGAAATAATTTATGTGTTTACTGCATGCAGGCTAGTAGCGTAATAATTGTGCTTCGCGTGGTAGCAATAAAAGCGGAATGCATGCGTACAGACCTGCGTTGATCGCCACTGGAACAAATTGCTCGCATCCATCTTTGCGGGTTATTTTTGACACGCTATTCCCAGCATCTTAACGGGAAAGGAAAATATCACACATGGAGCATGCCAGCCCGGTAATTGACCGCGTAGAACTTCTCCAAGCTTCTTGCAAGCCATCGCTACGAGACCGAACAAGATCCACTTCTTTTCCGTGCATGGGCCAACATCGACGGCACGGCGCGCAGACAGGCCCCACCCAGGTGCCCTGACCCCCCCCCCCTTCACCTCCTCCCCCCTCATCCAGTGATCTCATCGGACCAGCTCGGAAAAATCCCCATCACAAATGGACTCGTACCGTCCGGCGCCGTAATGGAAAGTAATGAGCATAATGTGTAATATTTTACATTCCTGTCAACACGAGGGTGTGGTCGTCCCCCGAGGGCCGGCTGAAAATTTCGTCGGACTCGGCTGTCGACTTTATTAGCGGCGCGCGGAGGACTCCTGGCGGCGGCGGCGGCGCAGCGGGAGCGGCGAGGGGGACGGCGGGCTGGCTGGCTAGCAGTCGGCCTGGGCCTAGTCGCGCTCAGTGAAATCATGCCGGATAAAGCCATCGGCTCAATGAAGCGATACGAGCCGGTAATATAGTAAGCAGTGTGATGAACAGAAAATGGCCAAAAGGTGGTTCCGATCAGCAGACATTGCTCATGAGCAAATTGCATCATGTTTGTGGTATAACAATGTTCAAAAATTGCTGTAAAATGATACAGGTGACGCAGACTGAACGTTGTTTTACCAGTGATGACTGAATACATACTGCTCGCTGTATTTGCGAGAGAATTCTTGGCACGGTGGGGTGGTCTGGGATGTGATGATTGTACATTTCATAATCGCATTTCGCATGACTCAAAATGCAGCAGAAAAGAGATTATGCAGACTCTCTCAAGAACGAAGCCAACGTGAGTGCTACCTGCTTCACGGCATTTCCATTGACACATCCATCACAAACCCAAGCAGCCACCAGCAGCTGGAACCATGGAGTCAGCCCACCTTCGAAACGACACCGCGCGCGTAGACGGGCGGCGGCGAAGGAGTTTCGATGACTCGCCATACCGGGAAAATAGCCGGCCGCGCACCGACCGCAGGACGGAGAACTTCCTGGGACTCTCCCTCTGACGCAGAGCTGAAGCAGGGCTTTGCGGAGGCCAAAGCTGAGGCCACCTTCCGGTGCCACTGGAACAAAGGCGCTTCCGGAGAAATCCTAGTTAGCTGCAATCAAACATTTACCGACGCTATCCGTGTATCGACCGTCAGGCGTATTTGCAGCAATGCATACCCAACCATTTTCCCCTGGAAAATACACGGTGGCTCGGGCCAAGGGATGAATTATAGGGCGTGAAATTGGCGGTGTGCCAGGGTGCGCTCGGTGGGGGGATGCGGACAGGGCCATCGGCGGACACACTCAATCGATGATGCCCGCGGCCAAAGGTGGCCGGCCCGACACCGGTAACAAAGGCTGATGCCGGCGCGGGCGCTATTCGAGTCGGAGCACATCGAGCTCCCTGGGAGGGCCGGAGCGAGCTGCTGTCCACTGCGACGGTCGGCGTGCTGCACGCTGACGCACGCCCGGCTAGGATGTGGGCGTGCTCCACGATGACGTACGCCCGGCTAGGATGTGGGCGTGCTCCACGATGACGCACGCCCGGCTAGGATGTGGGCGTGCTCCGCGATGACGCACGCCCGGCTAGGATATGGGCGTGCTCCACGCTGACGCACACCCCGCTAGGATATCGGCGTGCTGCACGATGACGCGCGCCCGGCCAGGATGCGGCGTGCTCCACGCTGACGCACGCCCGGCCCCGGCCGCGGAGGGTCTCGTCGCGTCGACCGATGCTGACGGCCCGCTCTCTCCGGCAGTGTCGACGTCGCTGTACAACAAGGAGGACAGCATGGAGTCCCAGTACCGGCGAGACGGTATGCTGGGCTACGACTCGGCCCTGGACGGCGAGGCCTTCCTCCAGGTCAGAACGCTCAAATGCTTATTCGTCTGTGCCTATCCAGTGCTAGGTGTTTTGTTATGCTCTGGGGTTGATGTGAGTTCGCTTTTTAGAAGTTGGCTTTCCAGGATCCCAAGGGATGGCTACGCCACAATCCTGTCTTCTTTTGTACAACATATTCAATCGACCTCATTTTCTGTCCACTTTTGGGGTCCTTTCCTTGCCCTGTCCGTGCTGTGTCCCTGTCCCTGCAGCAGACTCAGCCGCGACCCTGGCGGTCCGAGGAGTCCCTCTCAGGCCCCGATGACGGTGAGCTTCAGGGGATCCCCAGCCGGCGGCCACCTCTTCAGTGGCCGCAGGTTGAGGGACGGTGTCCTGTTCCAGTCACTGTCAGAACAGCATACTGTGACTGCTGCGCTTCGAGGCTGTCCTTCGAGCCTGTCCTGAGTTTCATCATCCACTGCCGCCGCTGTTGTGTCACCTCATTCCACAGCCGCCTCCCGCGCTCCAATCTGCCCGGTGGATGGGCGCAGGAGGGGCACAGGAGCAGCACAGGAGGGTCACAGGAGGAGCATAGGAGGGCGCACAGGAGGAGCACAGGAGGGGTACAAGAGCACAGGAGGGCGCACAGGAGGAGCACAGGAGGGGCACAAGAGGAGCACAGGAAGGGCACGGGAAGGTGCACAGAAGGAGCACAGGAGGAGCGCAGGAGGGGCACAGGAGGGCGCACAGAAGGAATATAGGAGGGCCACAGAAGGAGCACAGGAGGAGCACAGGGGGGGGGGGGCACAAGAGGATCACACTAGGGGTGCAGGAAGGCGTACAGGAGAGGCGCAGGAGGGCGCAGCAGTGCCAGCTGCCCCCCAGCCATGGGAAATGTGGTGTTCGCTTGTGACGTTGCATGGTGAGACAAGTGTAGGTCAGCTTTCCCAAAAGTGGGGTCAAACATCTTTGCCACCCAATTCTTACCATTCATCACCATGGGGTTCATGTGAGCCGTTTAGAGAAGGCGGGTGGGCCTCTCCCCTCCGCATCCTGAGCCGAGTCCTTCACATGTGGTCGGGCGCGGATCTGAAATCGTTACTGCTTGTTTCATCGTCACTCCAACCCCCGATGTTTAAGGGTCACTACGACCGACCCTACCCCGGATGGAGGTCGCCGGCACCTCCCCCTCCCCTTCCTCCTGGGCGTTGTTCGGCGGCCGCTCGGCGCGCCCGACACGTCTTGCTCCTGCGTGCCGCGGCTGCCACCGCGCCACGTTCGTCGCAGGTTGCGTGGCGCAGCGCGCTGCTCCGGCCAATGAGACTGTTCGCACGTTATTACCGGGATCGGCACGCGAGCGACGTCACGTGCCACGTGCCGCACGTCGCGGCGTGACGGGCGGCGTGACGGAGGAGTCGTCACGGGCGTCTGCCGGCGGCCGGGCGCGAGGAGTCACGAGGGACGGCCTCTGCCGAGGGCGAGCCGAGCGCCCGGGCAAGGGAGAGAACCCCCGGCTGGAGGGCGCACGCAGATCCTC